AATCGTACCAAATTAATCGACTTTCAATCAGAAAAATTCGAATAGAATCAGGTTTTTTTTTGTAATCTTTTTTAGACACACGGCAAATTTTTTTTGCCTTGCCGTGCCCTGTTATACAGTCTCTGATCGATTACTTATAAGATCGATTAATGAAGTAATTGCGCAATCTCAACTGAAACAATTTACATACCATTTCCAACTTTATTTTACTTATCGAGCTTTAACTTAGTGATACCTTCATAGTTTCTTACCACGAGGAATCAAAAAAAAAACATTAAAAAAAGTGCTTCGGTTTTGAATCTTGAGAAAAGCACTTGTGTTTGATGTATATGATTAAAATCGATTCAGAGATACTCATGTAAAAAAAAGATGTCGGAAAAAATCTGATTTTAATCGATTAAAATGGCACGATTTTTATCGGATTTTTAATCATCAAAATTTGATGACAATTGATTATGTGTAAGAAAATCTATTAAAATCGATTTTTTATGATTAAAAATTCGATTAAAATCAGATTTTTCTATTCATTATTTTTTTTTTACATGGGTAGTGTCTTGCTCTCATTTAAATAAGTTTAAATCAAAATAAAAAAATTATTAATACATTGTTATAAAGAGCATTAAACTGTAATTTTAGTTGATTAATTTTGATTTTCTCTAGTCAATTCCAAATAGACAATTATTGACGAGATACGTTTTGCTAAGATTTTTTATACGTTGGTTTTCATTAGAATCTTTTTTTTTAAATATAAAATTAGTTGATCTTAAATTTAAAGACAAAATATTCTTTTAATTATTGAAAATCTATTAAAATAATCTACAAATTTCAATTAAAATAAGTAAAGTATCTTGAAATTTCCATTAAACTGATCGATAATTTAATTCATAGGATGATTAAGATTTTTCTCATTGAAATTTTATTTTCTTTAACAATTTTCTGACAATATCAAACTAAATAATAAATATTTTTAATCTTAAAAAAATAAATATTAATAATAGACTCATTGAAATATAAAATTATCGAAAATTAAATTCTATTTCAAGATCTTCATTGTTAAATATTAATTTATATGAAAAAAAAAGACTTCATATTTCGAATAAACATAAAATAATAAACAAAAAAACCAGACTTTCTTAATTAACATATTGAGAGAATCTTTTCTATGAGATTTGTTATTTAATCTAGTCATATAGTTGATTAGAAAGAAAAACTTTTTGAAGTATTTTAAATAAAAATATGTTTAAAGTTTAAACAAACCTAAACTTGTCATAACAAAATAAACCATAATGGAAACAATAAGATAAGAAATAAGAGAACCACCAGGACCTGATGATGCTAATACTTGACCAGAAGCTAAAAATAATCCAGTACCAATTGTTCCACCTAATGCAATCATAATCATATGTCGTTCTTTTAAATTTCGATGAAGATCTGTTTTATTTGGTGATAATGAAATTTTATTATTATCAATATCTGTTTCAGTATGACTTGGTGCATGATTATCTATACTTGTTTGTGATATAACATTTATCTATTTTATAAATTCAAAAAGACAAAAAAATAAAGAATTTTTTTAAAATAAAATCTTACTTGAATATCATTCGACTTTGTTATTTCATTTTGAAAGTCAAAAGATATTGTTCGTCTTCTTGACATTTATTTCAAATCTAAAAAATAAATTTTCTTTTCATGTTTTTTCTTCTTTATATTCAATATCATTTTGTTATTCTAATGGAGGGGTGTGGTGAAGAGAAGAAGTAGCAGACGGTACTGAACTTTCCTTTTTTTTAATTTTACGGTCTTTTTCTTTGTAATAAAAAATACGATTTTGTCTGAAAAAGCTGAAAATTTTTTGAAACTGGAAGATGTACGTCCTCCATTCATACTCACATTTCTGTTTTACTCACCTATTTAATCTAGTTATCAACCTTTAAAATGAAATGTAATGCGTAGTCAACAATGAGACAACAAAAAACTATTAATTATATATATTCATGCACTTTGTTCTCTTTTTCATATCTTCACAAGAAACAATAAAACAAAGATAAAGTATCATGTCAAAAATTCATTCTCATTTCATACTAGAGTGTTTTTTTTGATCTTACACTGAATAATTATTGGATCACCGAATGATATCCCAGATCGCAAAAACCGGATCAGTTGGGTGTGGGTGTGAGTGTGGATGTTGATAGCCCGAATATTCGCACACCCACCCACACCCAAACCCAAACCCACCCACACCCACAGCCACACCCAAACCCAAACCCATACCCCACACACCCACACCCTAAATACTTGAATACTTGAATAGTTGATTACTTGAATAGTTACACACTTGAATACTTGAATACTTGAATAGTTGAATACTTGAATAGTTAAATACTTGAATAGTTGATTACTTGAATAATTGCACAGTTGAATAGTTGAATACTTGAATAGTTAAATACTTGAATAGTTGAATAGTTAAATAGTTGAATACTTGAATAGTTGATTACTTGAATAATTGCACACTTGAATAGTTGAATACTTGAATAGTTGAATAGTTAAATAGTTGAATACTTGAATAGTTAAATACTTGAATAGTTGAATACTTGAATACTTGAATTCAAGTTTCAAGTATTACATATATGTATTTCAAGTGCATGATTTAACATACACTGATATTTTCAAAAAAGTACCAAGTGAATTCAATTGAATCAAATGGTATATTGAGAGGAACAATAACCGAAAGTATTGGTAACGTTGTTTGAATGCATCGTATTATTAACTTTCTTTGTGTCCATTGAAGTCATACTAATGGCAGTTGTGTCATTATAATATGTTGGAAGAATATTCTTTCAACATTATTCACTTTCGAGGACGTTTGTTCTACCGAGTTTGCATTTCTCCCTACGCAATGAGGAATCAAAATCAATATATTTTACGCCTTTTTTTTTCTTTCTATGTAATTTATATATGCGTATTTTGCTACTTTCTTTACTAATTTTATATAATACCACTTTACCTCTTTGCTATACATTTCAATTCACAAAAAATTTCACAGAAGACATAGTATAGCAGCAGCCAATATCTTAATCAAAAACAAAATACATCATCTGATCACCTGTTCAATACTACGAGTATCAAAAACTACAGTCGATGATGCATCCTAAAATTCATATTATTCTTCTATTACTCTTAGGAGTAACACTTGCCTTAGGCGCACCTGAGCAAGTATCCCATCGACGACTGAAGCGTTGTATTGCTGATGGTGCCGCCTGCGAAAAAGGTAACGACTGTTGTGACGGCAGTTGCTGCCGTCCTAGTTTCGATATTCCGCCGCCATTTCTATCAATCACTGCTCCCCGTTTTTGTTATCCTCGTGACACGTGTATGGCCGATTGCCTCCGAAATTTTGATTGCAGTATGGCAATTGTCCCTGATTTGTGCATCACTGACTGTCAACACAGTTGTTCCGGTCTGTTGTGTTCTAATAAAATCTGAGCCAGGTATGTCATATCGATATAGTGTTTCAGTAACTACGATCAATGGTTTACTCTACCGTTTCTCGGATATTCTTCTAGATTTCAGTAGTGAAATAGTTTTTTTTTAATATTTTCTAGGAAATACGAAAACAAACACACTCCGATTCAATAGGCTAAAGATGAGCCAAGCTACAAACTCCTTTTTCTTATTCTTCTTTATTTTGCCGTACATATTTTTCTGTATTTTGCATTATTTTCAAATAAAATATTGAAATCTCGACAAGGAGACGAAGGACTTACACAATTTTTGACCTTTTGACATTTTTTCTGTACGAACTAGGGTGTGGATGGGCGTATGAGAGAGAAAGAGAAGATAATAAATCACATTCACCACCTGTCTTCAGTGTCTGAGAGGATGCTATCTTTTTCACGCTATGTACATTTATTACTTTCTTGAAATCATTGATTTTGATTATTGGCCAAACGGGCAACATCGAAAAAGATTGCTACTGTATACTTCTACATGTTGTTATTGTCGTTGTTGAGACTCTCGATATGCGACTGGAACATGTAAAAAGTCCTTCGAAACTATTGTGACAATATAGTATCATTAGATAATATAACAGACACAGAACCATTCATCAAAATTAGGCGATGAATCAATATGAGCTTTTAAAGAAGTAGTTATGTCATAAAATGCACTTGAATCAAAGAATTCCTTTATTTCAAAAATAACAATATCAAGATTTCCGAGATCAATATTTGGAAATAAATTTTCGCAAAACAAAATTTAATTAAATGTACCTCTTATTTTTCCTGTTTTGTGGAACTCACATATATTTTCGAAGAAAATAGTGAATGTAAGTTTTAAGTCGAAGTTTTGGCGGCTCCCCCACTTCCCCCCCCCCCTCTCCATTACAGACACTTGGCAACCAGAGGCCCCATTACAGACACCCCCCCCTCCTCCAATTACAGATCTTTGCAATTAAGAATAACAGGCGTAAGACTTTCTAGTTTTTTTTCAAAAAATTGATCAAATTATAATTTTGAAAGATAATCAACATCATTGTTTGTGAGCTAATTAATATATATGATAGTGCGTAAGGGTGTGGGTGGGGGTGTGCTATTCAGTTAAAATCCAATTCCCACACCCACACCCCACACCCTGCCCATTGCTGTCTACCTCTCAACATAGTTTGGCTAGAAAATTACTCACTACTTAAAAATTTCTAGCTATGTCAGTAGCCTTGATTATTTTATAATCAGAATATTTAATAAAATACAAAAGAAGTGTTGAGAAGAGTAATAAGATTTAAAATATATTACAATAATGTTTATTAAGTAAACCATAGTATTTGGTGAAAATAGTATACATATTAATTGTTTGTCTTAATCTGTACATATGGATACCTATCAACTTCTTCACCATTATTTTCATTAAAAGGATGATTTGTATAATCTTTGTTATCCTTGTTCTTATTAATTATGTTCTCGTTAATGGCTGGCATTGATGATGATACACTACAATGATAAATATTAGATTAATATTTCACTATTATCAAAATCTTTTATTATTATTCATCAAAAAATATGGATAATATTAACTATCATACTATGTGTTTTTCTCTCTTGCATTTCAGGAATCGATTCAACAGAATGTGCTTTATTTGTAACCAATAATGGCATCGTTTTTGCTGATGATTGTTTTGACGTTGGATCTTCTTCTTCTTCTTGGCGAATAATACGATGGAATAGTGATAATGGAGATGGAACTCTCATTGGCGAGATTGGATGCAAAGTATTTGATTTCTATATAGATACGAAAATTAATTTTATGTTAAATATTTATATATAAAAGTGATATTGAGGTTTTTTGTTAAATGAATATTAGAAAGAGAATAAAGTTCTAACCATAGATGAAATTGATTTTATTTTGTCATTAGATGATATCCAAGGATTTAGTTTTGTTATTATGGGTGATATTGTATTGTCTGATGGATTTATTTCTTCCATATTTTCTGTATATGGAATGCATTGTTTTGATCGATTGTTAGTATTTAATTTTCCAATTATTTTTGCTATCACACGAAGACGATGATTTTTAGACGTTATATTTCCACCTATGCTGGAATTTTCAATAGTTATTTTATTGTTGTTGTCACATAACATTGATAAATCATATTTAGAATAAGAAGAAAACATTTGATAAAGTTTTTTAAGATATTCATTCTTCAAATGATATCTTGGTTCAATAAAACGTTTACGAAAAAAATCTTTTTTTAAAATAGTATCCATTGTTTTCAAAGTTAATGTAAGAAAATAATCTCGAAATGATTCGTCATGTTTAAAAATACCACCCGATGGACCAACTATTGGTTCAATATCAGCTCGACGCCAAATTTCAATCTAAAATTAAAATGAATTAAATTATTCTATATTTTGATTATACGAAAAATCAAACTTTGTAATAAAGTTCAGATTTGATTTGAATTGGTTTGACTATAATGTAGACTTGTGTTACTTTTCCAAGAAAAAAATCTGGTGTAAATGAAAGTTCACTTTCTTCTTGAAAAACAATACATATTAATGCGTTACCAATTAAACTTTTTCTTTGAATAAATTCTAGATCATTTTTATTACATGGAATTATTGGTGCTACATTAAACATAATTTGATAATTTTGATATATGGTAAAATAAGAATGAGTTCCATGTTGATCTGCTTTTGTATCAAGATCACCACGATATTTATTAAAATTTTTTAATTGAACAAGTTCACTAATTAAGTTTAGAAAATTTTCCATTTCAATCGACATTTTATCATTACTTAATATTTCAATTTCATTTAATTGATTTAAACGTTGATGAAGGATACTAATTTTATACGAAAGTTGGTCATCATTATATTTGTCGAATTCAAGAATTTTTTCATTTGCCTTAATAAATAACTTACATTAAATCATCTTCAAAAACAATAACAATTATATGAGAATAAATATCAAAAGATAGAAAAGCATCTGATTTATAAAAATTTTCTATATCAAATTTTTCAATATACACCAAAACCTTCCATACAGGACACCTCCATATAGTAGACACTTCGTGGTCCGATGGAGTGATTTTTGCTGAAATTGAACTTCTCCATAGTGGACATCTCCGCATAGTGAACATTTTTCAAAGTCCTAGCTGTCAATTTTTTGCTGGAAATGAACCTCCTTATAGTGGACACTTTTGAAAAGTCCGCAAGGTGTCTACTATAGAGGTTTTGGTGTAGTTCCATTTACTTCTAGAAATAGTGTGGAATAAGTCTCGAATTGAGTCTTCTGATGCAAGATTTTCATTATTTGTCAAGGTAAATTTATGCATCGTGTATAACTAGTAACAACCAGAAAGCTTTTCTATACAAGTGTTTTGTAAATTTCATTTAGATAAAAACTAATAACAAAGAATTTTGTTAATTCAAGAATGCTTTTCATCCAAACGCAAAATATATGAAAGGTTATTTGCACTAATTGAAATGAATATTATTGAAATTAAATAGTCATCTATTTGATAGTGTTAAATTGACTAATGAATAATTTACTTCTAAGAGATTCTTCTTCAAATAAAAATAAAGCTTTCAGTAAAGTTAAGTGTCGACGAATAGATCTTTTTTTTAATTCACTAACGAGAGAACATTCCCAAGTGTCAAATCGCTTTTGAGTCGAGAGTATGAACATAAGATAGATCTCAATGAGATATGAAAAACCCCAAAATGATAAGTACCCTTAGACTTTCTGTCCAGAGTTATAGACATTTTACTGAAATTTTAGCCTCTTGCATAGTAAATACCACCAAATCGAATGCCGATATTTCGACCTGAGATTTTGCCCACATACGGGTATAGTTGTGAGTAGGATATCCAAAAAAATTCAGCCCAAGAGAATATTTCCTTCCCGAGATATTAAAGTCTCAAAAATCACTCATATACTACGAAAGATGCTAGAATTTTCTGGTTTTTGGAACTTTAATATCTCAGGAAGGAAACATTCTTTTGAGCTGAAATTTTTTGGATATCCTACTCACAACTGTACCAGTATGTAGGCAAAATCTCAGGTCGAAATATCGACATTCGATTTGGTGATATTGACTATGCAAGAGACTAAAATTTCAGTAAAATGCCTATAGCTCTGGACGGAAAGTCTAAGGATACTTATCATTTTGGAGTTTTTCATATCGCATTGGGATCTATCTTATGTTCATACTCTCGACTCAAAAGCGATTTGACACTTGGGAATGTTCCCTCGTAAGAAAATCATTTTCTCTCCAATGTTGTTTTTAAAAAACATTTGAATAATCGAAATCATTAAATTTGATATCGTCAGATTTTAATTTTTTACACAAGTAATACATTCATAATCGGTATCAATCTGAATTTGGGTATAGATTTGAGGTGTTGTTGCAGGTGAGTATCAGATTCAACTTAATAATTACATCGTAAATGATGAAATTCTTTATTCTTAAAATTTAAAAAAAAATCTGCAACGATTTACTACATTAAAACAAACTGTACGCATCGAAAATAACACAACAAAGAAAATAATGAAAATTATCGTTTATCGTATGCAAGCAAATGTTGTAGATTTTTGTTTTTTATTAAAAATGGTCACTCGATCACTTTAGTAATCGTAGTAAGCATAGCTTTGTTATTTATTTCGATTGTATGTATAAAATGCAAAGTGCAGACAATAATGTCAAATCAGAAAAAAAACTTTTCTTCCTACGTTAGAAACATTTAATTCATCAAAGAAGTATGTTAGTATATTTTCTTACTTTGATATCGTGAACAAGATCAACATGACAAATACGTGATAATTTAGCCTTGTCTAATAGAAATTGTAAAATATTTCCTTCATTTTTGACATTTACTATTTCCGATACAACATAGTTGTTATCCAGTGTACTTTAATTTAAAAAAAAAATAATTTAAATAAAATTCTTCGAAATAAAATGATAATTGATTACTTAAATACTGTTAAAGTTTTATATAAATATTTCAGATTAATTAATTTTTTTTTTCAGAAAAAATAACCTAGCTTACCGTATAATGGCTTGAAGTAAATGTTGGTTTTCGTCATCAGTTGTCATTGAATAAAAATATGATGGTTTTCTATGTCTTTCATTTGGTTTTGTACGAATAGACAGAACAGAAGCTAAAAATAAACCTTCACGTTCAAGTTCACCAAAATAATTCAGATGAAACTATAAAATTAAACGAATCTATTTTTGTTTCGAACTAATTCTATATATATAAGTGAATTTTCAGATTTACATGATCAAAAAATTCTTCTTCATATTGTTGCGATATACATAATGGTGCTTTTACTTGATAATGAAGTGTTTCTTCTGGTCGATCATCGCTTAAACATGGTTGAAAAACAAATAAAGTTGATGTTGATGATGATGATGATGACAGTGATGAATGTTCTTCTTGTGGATCGACTTTTGTTATATCACTATTAGTATTTAATTGATTTGAATTAACTTCACCCATTGAATGTTAATGTAATCTCTAAATATATTTTAATGTTTATTTTTCTTTTCAAAAAATATTTTTCACGTTGTGAATTACCATATGTAAAAAAAAACTAGTGAATATGCAAAAGTGAAATAATGTTTTTCTGTTCTAGCAAAACAAATAAGTATTTAATATTAATAGGCGTGTCTGAATCAACAATCAGGGAGAAATAATGACTCATTGGTGGGATTTATTCAAGCGTCACTAGCCATCTAATTCGTACATATTTTTTTGATGACATATAATATTGATAGGATATCTCCTAACAAAGCCTCTTCATCAATAAACTTTTATCTATCTAAT